GGTTACAATTTGTAACCTCCCAAGAGATTACAAATGTGCACCACCATGCCCGGTTTCAGTGGCCAGCACTTTGCGCCCAGGGCTCAGGGGCCAGCATGGCATGCAGTACTGGGAATCAAACCCAGGTCCTTGCGTTTGCCAGGCAAGCACTTAGATCATTGAGCTAACTCCTCAGCCCTTGCTCATCTTTGTATTCTTTTCAGAACTTATGGCAATTTGCAAATGCTGGATGAAAAATGGAGGAGTTAAATGCACAAAATACTATCTGTATATTTGTTATCTATAGATGAACAGAAATCAATCCCAGACCTAGGAGTCCCTCCAGTATTTCAACTTGTTGCCACAGTTTTGTGTCCACTCTACTTCTCAGTCTCCTGTGGGCAGAATATCTGCTTGCAATTTTAATAATGTAAACTGAAAAATTCAATGTAGAATGAGGATTGGTAAATGATATAATGTACATATTATACAGTTTAAGTATCATAAATAAGATATTGCTTGTTCTTTCTGTGTCTTATACTTTATTACATTTTTGTTTCCACTTAAGTACAGTCTGTGGTAGCTCTTGGAAAGCAGCCCTAGGGTTGTACCCTTTCTGTCTGAAAGCTTTTACGTCTACAAAATGCATTTATTTCATCTTCACAGTTGGAAGCTGATTTGGCTACATTTAGAAAACTACATTTAAAGTGCTTTTGGTTTTGCCTTTTTGTTTGTTTTTCATGCGAAATTCTTGTTTCCAGAGCTGCTGCTAAGTCTGATCTCAATCAGAGTCTTAATTTTTGCTAATTTTTTCCTCTTTGGCATCTTTAAAGATTCTTTCCTATACCTTAAAGTTCTCAAATTTTTCTGCAATCCACCTTAGTACCTAAGAACTCTCTCATTCTGCAGTTTTATGGGATTTTTGGGGGGTGGGGTGGGGGTTAGTTCTAGAAAGTTCCTAGATGTCATTTTTTTGACTACTGGCTCTTTTATTGTCTTTACTTTCTTTCCTGCAAGTTTCCAGTCACTAGATGTGACATAGCTACACTCCATGAGTCCTTTTATTTTAAACTTCTCTTTATCGTTTCATCTCATGCTCTGGCTACAATTCCTTAGTTTTAATCTTCCCAACTCACTAATTTGCAACTTGGTTTTGTTTTTTATTCTGCAACTGAGCCCTCTATTAATTTCTCAGTGACAGCAAGTACATTGTCTCCATCTCCAAGGTCTCCTCTTGATTCTGTTTCATGGATGTAGTACTGTATTTTATTTTTCTGAAGATATTACTCTTCCCAGAAAGCTTAGCTCTCTGCTGCAGCAAGTTGTAAATTCCTTTTGCTTTTGTCGCTTCAATTTCTTGCTGTTGCTACTTCCATTCTTTCCTGATGATGGCTTCATCTTCCCAAGATGTCCCCATGTGGGCAGCCAGGCTCCAAGAGGCTTGAGGTGGTTGTGGGTGCTTGTGTTTCTCAGTTTTCACTGAGAACAGCAGATGGGCTGAAGACCCTGCTGCTGCAGAGAGCTTCTGTGTGACCGTGGCCTGGGCCCTCCCTACTTCTCCAGCCCAAGCCCCATGAAGGTGGAGGCACCAGGGCTGGAGGACAAATGCCCCCACTGACCAGTTCTGCCGATGCTCATTAGCTGTCCCTTGCCTTCTTCCCGCCAGCATTCCTCTAGGACTAGACCCACCGTGGGGCACCACATCTTCACTTATCCTTCTGCACACCTCAGCTCCTCCCTTTCACCGTCTGAGGAATTCCTCGGGGCCGCTAGTCCCTTGGTAAGTCTGCTTCTGGATGACAGGTGTGGCGAGGGATTCATGTGTTTTTCTGCATCAGCTCAAGACTTCTCTGGATTTGGTGCAGTGAAAAGTAGCCTAACATACCAAAATCACCCTCCTGAAAAGTATAAACTTACACTGAGTCTCATACAGGATATAGATACTAGAGAGGACGCTGGTACTGAATGGGTGTGCTGCCCTGAGCCCCCTGTGCATTTCTCCCGTCTGAGTCTGAATCACAGGAAAATACATTTCCTGACTCCTGTAACAACTGGCTTCCAGCTAATTGTAGCCAATGGGAGGCACTGGCGGATGCCTGGAAGGGGGTGAGAGGTCAAGGGTGTCCCTGCAGAGGGTCTCAACTGGTACCCAGGTCCCACCAGTGGTAACCGCTTATGTCCAGTTCCTGTTATCAGGTCGAACTCCTATAGCTGGCTGTAGCTCTGGGGCATGGTAGCACCAGCATGTCTCACTGTCCCTTCAGTCCGTGGGCTCCAGGAGCTTCTGTGTTACTGACTCTGGTGGGGGGGGGGTCTCAAAACCATCACAATTTCCTTGATTAAAGAAGATTATGGGGCCACAGAGGAACATGATGGATGATGCCGAGTGTGCCTAAGGAGAGTCACATGGAGAGAAAACATTCTCTCAGGCTTTCACAGAGAGCACATTGGCCAAGCAATGGCCGTGACTCATCCACATGGCTGACACTCACAAAGGATCTACAAAGTGCGGTACAGGGGTACAAGATAAATCCTGAGGGGACTTGACTGACCTTATCAGATATAAAAGTTACATTTCTTGTTATATAGGTCTTGCTTTATCTTGTTCTTAACCATCCAGCACAAAAGTATAAAAACAAGGTATAAAAAGTAAAGCCATATTAATATGCTGATTTGTAAAAGGCTCAAGTCAACAACTTCTGACATTGCCAGTCTTACGGAAAACCCACTACTATTATGGACTACTGGACTATTCTGGAATATTTTGCTGAATTCACACACTTATAATATTTAAATGACAATGGAATACCCTTCTCTGACAAAACTAAACAAAAAAGGGGATACAAATGAAGGACCATTTTGTATCTGTATATTCAATATAGTTACGATAGATGTACAGCTACATTCTCTTCATTCAGTGAATAGCAAGATTTGTTCTAATACTGTTTGTAAACAGAATATCATGTCTGCATCTTGTACAATGAATAACCACTAAGACAACAATATGCAATGTACTAATTAGTGAAACTGTCCTACTAATTGGATTTGAAACTGTCTCATTGCTATTTGTTTCTCAATAAAATTATGGGCTGGGGAGATGGCTCAGTAGGAGAAGCGCTTGACAAGCAAACGCAAAGCTCTGAGTTCAATCCCCGGTTCCGAAAAAAAAACAAAACAAAACAAAAAAAAACCTACCAATAACAACAACAAAAAACACCCTAACAAAACAAAATATTCAGTGTTATCTCAATAAAATTACGGAAAAAAAACCAATTTCCTTGATTAAACCCTTTTGCCGAAAGGTGTTAAGTGTTCTTGTCTTTTGGGCTTGATGACTTGATGATACAATCAAGGAAGAAGGGATATCTTCTTTGAAGGGAAAGAAATGAAGGAATTCTCAGCCACTGTTCTCAATCTCAAGGATATCCCAAATCATTTCAAGGAGTGACACGATATTCTTAACAAGGTGAGTCAAGGTAGTTTTGGAAGGAAAGCTTCTGGGGCTCGTCATATTCTTAAACACAGCACTGGAGTTAGGAAACACCACGGGTGTGTATGTGTGGGTGTGTGCACGCATGTGTGCGCACACGTGTGCATGTACCCTTTGAACATAACAGGGACCTTGCCGAAGGCTTCTCCATTTTTAGTTGTACCTCATGGGCAAACATAGTTTTTATAAAAAAACTACTTCTAGGGCCAGGGAGATGGCTCAGTGGAATAAGCGCTTCCCTGGCAAGCGCAAGGGCCTGAGTTCAATCCCCGGTTCTGCCAAAAAAACAAAAAAACCCCCAACCCCCCCCCCCCAAAAAAAAAAAACAAAAAACTACTTCTACTTCACTTGCCATGCTGGGGATTGAACCCGGGGCCTTGTGCATGTTGAGCAAGTATTTTACCTCTAGACTATATCTTTAGCCCCAAGAAAATCACTTTTTTAAAAAAACTAATTTTATTGAGAAAGAAATAACGATGAGACAGTTTCAAAACAGGTTAGTAGGACAGTTACAATAATTAATACACTGGATATTGTCTTTGTAGGAGTTATTCATAGTACAAGATGCAGACATGATGTCTTGTCTAAACACTATTAGTACAAATCTTTCTTCTCACTGAACTAAGAGAAAGCAGCTATACATTTATCCATATATATATATATATATATATATATATATATATATATCACCACAAAGTGGTCCTTCATTTATGTCCCCTTTTTTTGTGAAAATCACTTTTATTTTCTCATTTATTTACCATTTTCTCTGTTGAGGGAGAATGAGGTGAAACGACATTCATCTTCAGAAAACTTAAGGAGCTCTACTTCTTATCTGGAAATAGCATGCCTTCCGTCTAAGCCTAAGCAGCATCACCTCTGCAGGAGGGCTTTGGAAGCAGCCAGAGAGCCCACCCTGTGCTCACAGCCACAGAGAGAAGGGGGCGGAGAGAGAGAGAGGGAGGGAGGGAAGGAGGGAGGACGAGCCGCATTGTGTCACGGATAGGCCATCTGGCTGCAAATCTGAAGGCTCTGAGAGATGCCGTGCCTCTGTGAAGTCCTGAATACCTGCCTTCATGAGCAGCACAAGCGTTTGAACTGTAATCTATGGGCCATCTATTTATTAAGGGAGAGAGTTGACTTGGCATGGGATTAAACTGGTGCTTGCAGCAAGGTGCAGCTGTGCAGAAAGGCTTTTCTTGAACTGCTCTCAGGCCTGAGCCCCACAGTTGGGTCTGTCTTTCAGCTGCATGCCTATTACCCAGCCAGCCCTGCAGCTGGCGTGAGAAGGACGCTCCCACCCTGCCATGCTCTGCTCCTCACTTCCTCCACGCTGAGGCGGCGAAAACACTGCCAGCCCTCCCCTTTCCAGCTTTTCATGGAAAGCTGCCACTCCTAACCGGCGCCTCGGTGTGATTTCAGACTGGCCCAGGGGACCCACGTGCTTTGAGGTGAACTGGTAACGCAGATGCCAACGGGCAAGTTAACCCAAATGCTCACTGTGAGGTGGAAAGAAAAGACCGGGCGCGCTTACTGCCGGAGCTCCTCTTCTGTGAGCGCCTCGGTGCTCGGCTCCCCGGTGACAATGGCCAGTTGGTCCTTCAGCTCTTGGACTTCCTTCTGCAGGTGGATGATCATCTGCAGGGGGAGAGGGGAAGAGGTACGCATGTGAATGCCAGCTTGGAGGGGACAAACGGCCTCCTAAATTGTGAGCTTCCAGGGACACATAAATGGACAGAGAATGATGGAGAAGGCATTGCTATAGCTACCAGCCAGCTTTATATGGAGTCTTAATGTTGTCAAAATAGTTCTGGAATCATGATCATCATCATCATCATCATCATCATCATCACCATCATCATCATCATCATCTCTACTGTCTTCTTGAGGCAGTCTTGCTATGCAGGTCAGGCTGGCCTCGGGCTTACTTTGTAGCCCAGGCTGGCCTCAAACTCTCAGCAGTCCTCCTGCCTCAGCCTCCCGAGTGCTGGGATTACAGACATGCGCCCCCACACCTGGCCTGGAATTATTCTTTAATATAGGAACCCACTACTCCTGTTTCCTTTCCATCCTTCCTGAAGGATCCGGCCGAGACATTCAGAGGGCGTCACGCCCCTGTGTGTTTCCACACGTCTACCTGTACATAATGCATGGCGTCAGTTTTCATGCCTTCAATGAAAAATGGAAATGATACATTACTGCGTATAACTGCAGCTTTTTTTTTTTTTGCTTTGTTTTTGAGCTTATTTATATTGTTTCCTAGGGCTGTAGCTCACTAATGTTTACGAATGTGTAGTGTATCGACACTGCATTTTGTGTCTCTGTGCGTCTTGTCCACAAGGATTTTATTGTTGCTGAGGATGTCAAGATGTTCCCCCGCTGCTAGGTGAGTTTCCCTAGAGGGCACCTTTGCGCTACCACGTCTCCGTAGTGGAGCATGGGCATTGTGCCCTCATGGTACCCAGTTAAATCACTCTTCGGAGCTGTAAACTTCACCTCCCCATTAATGACATATGGATGTCCTGCTTCTCCACATTTTCAGGTTATGTCACGTTGACAACCGCTCTGTTACCAGCCTGGCAGGCGGGAAATGACACCTGGTTTGTACTTTCATAACTGCCCGTGAAGTTGACCATCTTTACACTGGTACTTGGACTGTTTGGGTTTCTTTTCCTGAGAGTCATTTACTCACACCTGTGCCCGTGTGTCAGCGAACTTGTTTTTCTTTTCCATATTAATTGGCAGGTTTCTTTAGCTATTCCAGGTGCAGATGCTTTGTTGATTTTATGCAGGGCGCCTATTTTCTTTCAGTCTATGCCATGTCTTTTTACTTTGAGGTTTTTGTTTTCTGGTTAAATGAAAGCTCTGAATTTCAATACAATTTAATTAGAAGCTTTTTCCTTTATTAGTTGTGCTTCTACATTTTCTCAATATCTATCTTACCCAAGCCATTGCAATATTTTCTTATATGGTCTTTTAAAAGTGTTAAAGTGTCGCTTTTCACATGTCAGTGAATTTTATTGTATACAAGGCATGACAAAGATCAAGCCTCACTTTTACGTGGCTACTGCACAAGGTCGGCTAGTAGAATTCTGTTCTGCAGCATGCTTGCATGGAGAAGCCTGCCTGTTCCGGGGCATCTGTCAGTTTCTAGACACATGGAAGCCCCACACTTGCAGCTACTCTGTCATAAGAAATTGTATCATTGTATCTAAATAAGACAACCCCCTTCATCTTGCTCCTTTATAAGATCAGAGCTGGTTGTTCTTGACCATTTGTTCTTCCATATAAACTTTACACCCAGTGTGTCAAATTCTGCCAAAGGCCCTCTTCCGATTTGTACTGGAATTATATTTATCTAAAATGTTAGCCTGGTAAGACGTTGAGTTAACAATACTGTACTGAACCACACCATCCGTGAATTTAGGAAATATCTCTGTTGACTCTTTCCAATAAAAATGTATAATGTTTTCTAAGTATCTTACGTGTCTTTATTATCTTTTGATACAGAGTCTCGCTACACAGCTGGACTTGTAGGGATCCTCCTATCTCAGCCTCCCGGCTGCTGGGATTATAGGTGTGGGCCACCATGCCCGGTTCTGGTGGCCAGCACGGCACACCCAGTTGCGGGGCTGATGTGGCATGTGGTATCCAGGATGGAACCTTGGTCCTCGTGCTTGCCAGACAGGCACTTAGACCGCTGAGCTAGCTCCCCAGCCCTCTAAGTACATTTCTTAAGACATGCTTATTTTATTCCTTCTAACGCTTCACCTTAAAGTGATGTGTATTATAAATTTTTGGTTATTATGTTTAATCAGTTTGAAATGTTCCCTTATAGTTTAATGAATTTTGTCAACATATGGATGAATGCTTAATGTTATCAAATCCTTTTTAGGCAACTGGCGATGGGATCATACAGTTTTTCTCTTTTAAAATGTGCATGAGATGAATCACTTTAATTCATGCGATTATCTTAGTATTAACTATTTCAAATACACCAAAAGGCATAAAAGAATCATTGTGCTGTCTTCTTAGCTTCAGGGAATACCCACATACCCAATACCTTGAGAAGAAACATTGAGAGCCCTTTCAAGTTCTCATCCTGTATAGCCTTCCTTAAATCAATACCCATTATCATGGGTCCTAAATTTGGCTTTTATTTGTTCCTGTTTTTCTTTTACTATATCCACTGATACATTTCCTAGTGTCAGATTATCTTTAAGCTCCTGAAATACCCCAGGTAGGTCATGATACCATAATATGACACCATAATGAAAATTCCTAAAATAGAAATTAGCATGCTGAGCCCAGTGTTGCCTTCTCTTTGAATACCTGGTATTACTAAAAACAAAACAAAACAAAACAAAACCAAAAAAAAAAAAAAAAAAA